TCTCTCTCTACCTCTCTCAAAAAACCTTATTTCTGGGTGCACGCCATGTGCTACTGATCTCCCTATGTCTCTCCCTCTCTCTATATTTTATAAATTCCTCCCTCTTCTCTCCCTCTCTCTCTAAATATGTCTACGCGCTTCGTGGAAAGAGACTCGCCACCCGAGGAACCAAATCCATCCGCAACGACCGACCGATTCCAAGACGACTTCTTTTTTCTTTCCTTTCTCTAGAAACGAAGGGGCTGACGAGAGACGGACGTGGCGGCTGCCGAGAGATTCCCCAGTTGTCGGCCATCGTGTGAGCGGCAGCCGCCACCACCGTCCACGCTTACGACCATACCCCCAGCCGGACAACACAAGGCAGGGCGCAATGCCCCAATTCCACAGGTTTATGAATTGTTGTAATTTCTTAAGGACAGCAATCGCCCTGAGATGTGAGTGTACCACATTTTCCCACGCTTCTAGATGAACAATGTCATTAATATTTTTGCTTGGATAGATGAGAAATCTACCATGCTCATCAAAATCACCTCTAGTGAGCGAGAAACACATCTCCCTTTCTCATCAAGCTGGCTGAAATGAGATCATTGACGATTCTATGTCCCGTGGCAGGTAAAGATGGGCTGAAGAATCTTTCAACAACCCATCAGCGAATCAGTTGATTTATTTTAATATAAGCAAACAATATAAGGGCCATCGTCTTGTTGGTATCATTAATATAAGGTTCCTTTCAGCATCCCTCCCACTTGCCCACCAGCCCTTCCTTGTACGACCTACAATTCAGAGGGCAAGTGGGAGGGCCACCACATTCCCTCACAAAATAGCCTTAACATGCTTATGGATTGTGGGATTACCCTCAACGAGACTTCCACCTGCCTTGTTTCTGAAGAGTTTCCACACCTCTGGTTCGTTCAGAGAACAGAGTGTTCTAGTGAATGAGTTGCTTCAAATCAAGAGCGCACAGCTTGTACCCAGAAAGCAACATAAATCTGCCCACCAAAGAAGGCAAGAGACAGTAAATTCTGCAAGATACAGATTTTCAACTGTATTTTGAAGAATCAAGTGTCTTTCACCACTAGCACTACCCCATTTAGAAGGCCCCATTGCATCAGAAAAGTAGAGAAATTCTGCGTATTGGAAAGCAATGCTGCGTATTGAATATTCTAGGAGATGATGAAAAAACTTGTCTCACACGTATTGATCATGTATTCTCTATTCTCTAAAGTTCACTGGGTTGGGTTAGTTAGCATTGGAATAGAACATGGTGGAATCCTTGAGCGGCTCCAATGTCATGAAAGTTGTTGTTAACCCTCTTCACCAGATCCGCGATGGTGACGGGGCACCTGCCGGATGGGATCTTCTCTTAAGGCACGTCTATTCATGATCCACGCCAGGCCTCTGCCCACTACGGAAGGGACGCCATCTACCAGCCTTTCTACTGCAGCTTCTGTAACAATCTCAGCGAATATCCATTTTGCCATGCCCGAAGAACAGGACGGTGGCTCCTCCGGGCTAGAGGAGAGAGAGAAGAGGATGCCGCTGGTGAACGTCTGTCGAGGGGAGTAAACCCACTTGAGATCTCTTTCCCCCATATTAAGAGAGAGAGACAGGCAGAGAGAGGAAGAAGTGGACAGAGTCAAGTATGTGTCCGGCTGACCAAGTCATCTGTCATAGATTTTGAAATTCATAAACTAGCCCACTTTGCCCGCAGAATATCTCTCTGGGTAGACAATCCTCTTCTCTCTCTCTTGCTACATTGACCATTCTTTCCTAAGTTGACCGTACATCGGAGAGAGAGAGAGACAGAGACAGACAGACAGAGGGAGAGGGATAGAACAGGGAACAGAGAGAAACGGGTGCCCGGGTGTGTGCTGCTAAGAGTCATCCCCTGACTCGCCTGTGGTTGCCCTCCAAGTACTGCTAAGAGTCATCCACTTGATTTTTAGCGTTGACCAACTGACCTGCCTGATTGGGCGGACTGTGACTCGAACCAAACGTGGCGGCTGGCACGGTCCCACTGGTTCTAGCCTGCGGGACAGGTTTGGCTTGGACCGGACCTTGAGCGGGTGGTTGATTCGGGCTGAACCAATGCGATTCGAACTGAACCGGTTCGGTTCAGCCTACGGTTCGCAATAATATGAACCGGTTGGTTTTAAACACTGGCCGGTGGAAGGAAAGGGGGCAGCACGACCGGGTTGTTCGGGCGGAGAAAGGGAAGCGGCGGCGGAATAGGCGGAACGGATGCAGGCGGAGGCAGGGTTGGTGGCAGTGGCGGTGGATGGTGATGGCGGATGGCGGCCGCAGCGGCGGGGCGGAAGGTGACAGCGGACGGCGAAGGCGAAGGCAAAGGCAAGGATGAGCCTGGATCGTGATGGCAGACAGCGGCGGCAGCGACAGTGACGGCGACAGCGGCGGCGATAATGGCCAGTGGACCAACGGCGGATATTGGCGACGGACGGTGGCTGAACTTGGCGAGTGTATGAGGGGCGGCGGCGGATGAAGACGGCAACAATGGAGGATGAAGGTGTTGGACGGCCGGTGGACGGAGTAAGGTGGCCGTGGGCGGCGGCGGCGATGTGTGGTGGCGGTGGCGCGGGATAACTGACCCTCACGGCCTCTCATGGCAGAGCGATGATCGTCACGAATTCTCCTTGCGGAGTAATGCGAGGTAAACCTCAAACTAATCTCTTCTCTATTTGCTCTTAGGCTAGATGAGGTTGTTTATAGCCTCTCAAGAAGGAAATTCTGTGTCACTGGGCTTAGTCCTGGCCCACTTCTTCGTTCCCTATCAAACTCTGTACTTTCTTTTTGCTTTCTGTTCAATAAACTAATCTGGTGGATTACGTTGTAAAACAGTTCCAGTTAATCAGGACTTCCACAGTCTTGAAATATTGAACTTATTCTGTTTAATCGACATTTTTCAAAACACTTCTAGTCCTCTGCACCCAGATTAGGGCTCTGTCTTTGACCCATGAAATTTTTCATGTGATTAAGCTGCTTTGACGACATATGGTTTGAGATATCAAAGACACTGGATCGAGGACTCTACTTTCTCTCCTCTCTTAATTGATTTGACCTTTCACTCTGAGGTCAACCGAGTGTGTTCTGATCTGCAAAGTGTTGGGTTGGGTTGTCCATTAGTAAAAAATGACGACAAAAAAAGCCATATATTTCTGTAATTTCAAAGTGAATCATGATAATAGTTCCTCCAATAGATCCAAGATTAGCCTGATTTTCTGTGATCGCTTAGAAGTCCAAGCTTGTTCTTACTTAGCAAGTGGCTACATTAAAGCATAGCTACACGATAATCTCTAAAATAATTCTTTAATTGAAGAATTTAACAAAAGATTCAATGATATGTAGGATTATTTTGGTCTCCTGCGGTTTCTCTCTCCACTGGTGTAGAGAGGAGCAATGGGTGACTTCACTCAAGGGACAATAATGATCGCATTGGGTTGCCTCCTTCCTCCGGCGATTTTTGGCTCCACTCCCCAACACTTCTCCTTCTCCCCGCTGATGCATAGTGGTGACGGCCGGAGGCGACTGTGTAGGAGACAGTAGCAGGCAGAGGGGCAGCAGCGGCCTCTAGCCATTTTTCGAGTTCCGCTAATTCTATTAGAAGCCGGTTGTGATTCATTTTTCTTTTGTTTCTGGCATTAGAATCCTTTGCAGGGAATTCATTCGATACCAACTTTCAGCTCTTGAGAGTACTAACTTCAGAGGGATCACTGTGTTTGGTGTCTGAATGGTTGTATTCAGCTCGTTGTTTTACAGGAACTCCCTGTAAACTTTGACTGAGGTGATGAAGATGGTGAGCTAATGCTGGAGAGGTCACAGCGTTTCATCATAATTGTTCCCCTTCTTTCCCATAATTCTGTCTCCATTGCACTGATAAACATGATGCTTTTATTTGGAAGAGTTTTCACCTCTATTCCGAACACATTTAACTCTTCTAACTTCAAAACTGCTGATAAACAAGATGCTTCGACTTAACAAGTAATCCAATTGTATCCGACTCTTCTAATTTTGTGTGAAACACATTCAATGCTACTAACTTCACAAGTGCACCGATCTCATATAGGAGGCATTCTGGTTTTGTTTGTGACAAATCAAGATGTTTCAGCTCAACAAGAAATCTAATTGTATCTAGAACGCTGTTTAATTATTAGTGAGACACAATCAACTCTTCTAACATGCATAAGTTATTTATGTTTATTTTTGGCAAATCAACTTGTCTCCTTTACACAAGAAACCTAATATTATTTTGAAGAGTTTCACTTGTGTTTGAGACATTCAACTTTTCTAAGTGCACTGATCTCATATGGAATGCTTTTTACTTTTTAAAAATTAGATTATCTGACCATTAATCTATTTATGTCTGGAAGGTAGGCTAATTGTGTAGCATACACATGCAGTTCTTCTAGCTTCACAACTGCACCGATCTCACCAGGAAGCCATTCTAGTTGTGTATGACAAAACAAGATGTTTCAACTTGACAAGAAATCTGATTGTATCTAGAAGATTGTTTAATTCTATGTGAGACACATTCAACTCTTGTAACTTCACAAGTGCACCAATTTGGTATGATAACTGATAACATGTTGATTATGACACAAAAGGTGTAATATCAAGTGTAAATCTTATAATATAGCATGTTATCATATTAAAAATAAACATTTATAATTTCTTTCAGTATTTCATGAAGTTTAATATTTTAGAGATTTTTTTGGAATTTTTCTCTGAGTTTTACAGTCATAATTGATTTTTTACTAATATGAGAGAATTTCAAGAATTTTTGATATATTTTTTTATGATTTTTACACAGCCAATACATGCTTTGTAGAGATGAGGCAACAAAGTCAAGGGCTAAGGCATTGACATGTGACATCATCAAATGAGGAGATCAGACACCGTCAAGAATGTCCACAGAATCAACGGGAGATGGAGCATACTTACTTGGGGTGCAGCGGATCGCAACATTTAGGAAGGTCTTACGGCTACGACAAAACTTCTAAATCCAATGGTTCAAATCAACTCGAGAAGAAATGATTTTTGCCATGATTTTATCACATGGCTAAAAGGATAGAAATGCCCTCATATAATCATAGCCTTACATGTGTACTCTCACCTTTTCATGTAAAAACCCTTACAGATTTAAGTTGCAGTTTATGGGCGGAAGAACGAACTTCGAATGCCCTGACATTTTGTCGGCTTGCATGAAACAGCATTGGGGTTCCACATCAGATTTTGATGTGTTTTGAGTGATTTAAGTGTTGATTCAAAGTGTTGATCCCTGGAGAAACTACTCGAAGAGGAAAATCATCTTGCCTTGGCGACATATAGAGGCCCGAGGTGAGTTCGTCGAGGTCCAACGTGTTCAGTGCGGAATCAATCTAATAGGTATTCGTAAGTTTGAGATATGTTAGTTTATAGCTTCAGTTCTACCTTGCAAGTCTTTTATGCGTATATTCACCCTTTAAGCATCATCTATATCATTGATTCTCTATTTTCCCCCTTCCCTGACAGTGAGTATTTTTCTTATTCGTCATCACCTCTCTTTTGAGCATGTTTAATTAAAATAGTCTTTACGGAACGCCTAAATCTCATTTCGTGTGGATCGACTTCAAGCTTATCACATTACTTACTTATTTTAGTACTTTTATTTGGTAAATTCGTGATTAAAAATATTTTTTAATTAATTGATTTCAGGGCTTTTGACTATCCTCGATTTCATTTTATCAAGAACCAATGTGACAAATCAATATGCTTTAACTTGAGAAGAAATCTGATTGTATCTAGAAGCTCGTAAATTTTGTGCGAGACACATTCAACTCTTCTAACTTCACAGGTGCACCAAAGTCATTCAAAAGCCATCCTAATTTTCTGTGTGACAAATCAAGATGTTTCAAGTTAACAAGAAATCTGATTGTACTTGGAAGGTATTTTAATTATGTGCTAGTCATATTCAACTCTTCTAACTTCACGTGCACCAATCTCATCTGGAAGATCAATCTAGTTTTTTGTGTGACAAATCAAGATGTTTCAACTTGACAAGAAATCTGATTGTGTTAGGGAGGTTGTTTAATTCTGCATCAATCTCATTTGGAAGCCACTCTAATTTTGTGTGTGACAAATCAAGACATTTTAACTTGACCAGAAATTTGATTATAGTTGAAAGTTTTATTAATTTTGTGCTAGACACATTCAAGTCTTCTAACTTCACAAGTGCATTGATCCAATATGGTACCCATTGTAGTTCTATCTATGACAAATTATGTTTCAACCTTACAAGTGATCCAATTGTATCCAGAAGGTTGTCCAATTCTTTTTGAGACATAATCAGCTGTTCTAACTTCACAAGTGCACCAATCTCATGCAGAAGCTTTTTAAGTTTGTTTTTGACAAATGAAGATGCTTCAACTTGACAAGGAATCTAATTATATTTGGAAGATTGTCTAATTCTATATGAGACACATTCAACTCTTCTAATTTCACAAGTGCACCAACTGTGTCTGGAAGTCTTCTTAGTTTTGTTTTGACAAATCAAGTTAGTTCAACAAGTAGTCCAACTGTATTTAGAAGGTTGTCGCGATTTGTGTGAGACACATTCAACTCTTTCAACTCCACAAGCTTACCAATCTCATTCGAAAGTGGTTCTAGCCTTGTTTTTGATAAATTAAGATATTCTAACTATACAAGTGCCACCAATTTCATGTGAAAGAGTATGTATCTAACTTTTTGATGCATCTAACTTTTTCAACTTGAGATATACATAGTGTAGATGGCAGATGTTGTAATTTTGTCCTTGATATTTCACTAAACCACATATTTTTCACTTGGAAGATAATCTAATTTCGTTCATGATAAATCAAGATATTCTAACTCCACTATTGAATTGATTGTGGTTGGAAGGCTTTTCAATTCTCCTTCTGGTACATTCAAATGTTGTAATTTCACAAGAGTCCTAACTATATCTAGAAGATGATTTAGTTCTATCCTTGATAAATCAAGATGTTGTAACTTAGTAATTGACTCAATTGTACTTGGGAGCTCTTTTAAGTACGTCCTTGACACATTCAAATATTATAATTTCTTTAGTTCACCAATAGTATTGGGAATGACTACTAATCTATTCCATGATATATCCAAATATTTCAACTTTTTAAGTGAGCCAATTGAATCTGGGAGACTTTGTATTTCTGCTCTATGCCAATTAGTGTCATAGGCTGCTGCTGCTGCCCCTTTGTGCACTAGTGACTCCGACATAGTCAGTGCTCTCTCATTAATAAACTCCAACTCAAACAATTAAATTCAAACATCTTCATTTGAAGGCTATATTTGTCCTTTGTTTGGGGTTTTAATCATGAAAACAAACAAATTATGACTTAATGAGGAGACAATTATTTTACTAACAAGCCTCATATACTCTACAACTTTCCTTTTTTATAACTAACAAGCAGTCTACTGGATTCTAAGCGAAGAAAATGATACAAAAAAAAT